TTTGAACTGCAGGAGATTGTCTTGACCATGTCTACATGCCTAAATGCACTGAGTTGCCGCCATATGATTGGCTGCTTAGAAATTAAGTGTTAACGAGCAGTTGGACAGGTGTACCTAATAAAGTGGCCGGTGAGTTTGTTCTATTTAGTCAGAGCTTCCAAAATCTAAAATCACAGTAAGTATAACTCTTCCTCTGCCATGTTAGACAGCAGAAGTATCTAAGGAATGGAATAGGTTCAGGAGTACTTTGAAACAGAAAATGAATATGTATTAATAAAAAACATATTCAAAATATTACTCAAGCTTGCTAAAATCGATTTAAGGTTTTCATGAGTTGTGAGCCACAACTGTCACAATTACATTTACTATGTGAGCCTCTTATTTTGAAATTAATTAATAATGGAAATAATTTTTTGAGTTTGATGAAATTTACCTGTAAGATTCTAGAAACTCTCAAAATGAAAATAAAAAAAAACCCTACACTTCTTTAATCTGATATTTTCTTTTATTTTTAGATGTTTCCTGTGTTCGAAAAAGTTCCAGGTTTCAAAGACATACGAGTTCTTGCATTTCGGTGAGTTAAATTAATGGTTTGGAAACGACTTAAGTGAAGACTGTGCTTAGAATGAAGGTTTGCTCTTAGTGACGCTTTAGAATGCCAACGTGGGATTGTTTTTTTTTTTTCATGGAAAGGCTCTGTTCAAATGGACTTAGTTAAGCAACAGATGATTTAATTTCAACAAAGCCAGAAGAAATAGTAAGAATCTGTGCAAGATTGGGAGGAATTTTAGCCAAAATAGTAAAGAACAAGTTCCTCTTTAAACAGAAGCCTTTTATAGATTTCCAGATAGGACATGTACAGTAATGTTTTTGATATTCCCTAACATATAGCTCTAAATTTAGGCACATACAGCACTAATGGCTTAGGTACTCATCTGCAGGGATTTTTAAAAGGAAATGGGCAGAATATTTAGACAGTATATGTATTTCTTTACTAAAAAGTTTGTTAGATCATAAAAATATACAGTATGACACTTACAGTAGTAGCCATTCAAAATTTCCCTACTTTCCTTGATGCGCCCTTAGCTGGTCCCTTACAATTCCTTTTTAAACATCAATCTTTGACCTAAAATATTCTCTCTGTCATGATTTGTGGACATTAAGATCTTAAGAGAAGCATCAACTCCTGGTCAGAGCCTGTAATTAATTGAAATGGTGGAGTCAGAGTTAAAAAAATATGCAAGAGGGGGGGTTACTCCAGTGGCTGGAACTTGGAGTTGGAGGGAACGGCCATTTTGAATGGCTGCTACCGTAAGACATATTCTTAATGGTTTAAAAAAGTTTGGAACTGAATATTATGGTTGCTTTGTCATGTTTTATTGTATGGTAAAACAATAAAACATGACAGCCTCAGCAGATGGCCGCTCACACTGAGCCTGGTTCTGCTGGAGGTTTCTTCCTGTTAAAAGAGAGTTTTTCCTCTCCACTGTCGCTACAAGCATGCTTAGTGTGAGGGATTGTATTTGAGTCAATGAATCGATGCAATCAACTGGTTTTCCTTAGATAGAAAACTTTGTATCAATTTGACTGTATGATCTGGTTGAACTGTAAAGTGCCTGAGATAACATGTGTTGTGAATTTGGCGCTATATAAATAAACTGAATTGAAATTGAAATTAATACCATTTGGGTCACATATGTATTTAACAACACCAAGTTCTGTTTTTAGACCTGATTAAAATCAGTCCCATTAATAAGACTAAATCCAACATGACTTAGAAGAGCTGGTCATGAGATACTATTTTAAGGTTTCCATTGGTTTTATTTCTCACACCAACAACATTCTTCACTCTGTCTCTTTCTGTTCCCTATAAAAAATATATCTGACCTGCTACACGCAGCTACAGTCTTGAAAGCCACATATTGTTGCTCCTGCTAAAACAGTACATTGTAGTGCTAGGCTAAGTATAGTAATCACCGTTGCAGTTATTACTGCAACAGTATCATAATAGGTTTGCCTAAAAGGTCTATCAAACAGCTGCAGCTGATCCAAAACGCTGCTGCCCGTGTTCTCACTAGAACTAGAAAGTAGAGCACATCAGCCTGGTTCTGAAGTTCTTCCACTGGCTCCCTGTAGCTCAGAGACTAGACCTTAAAATCCTTCTATTAGTAGATAAATCACTGGATGCAGTTACAGTTTGCTGTCAGTGTATCAACCACTCAGGTTTTTTAGTTCCAGCCTATTCTGTTCACCCAGAACTAGAACCAAACATGGAGAAGCAGCTTCTATGCTCCACTGATCTGGAACAAACTCCCAGAAGACTGGAAAATTGATGAAAGCCTGAGTTCTTTGAAGCCAAAGTTAAAAACCAGTTTATTTAGAGCTGCCTTTGACTGTTCACTGCAAAAACGATCAAGAAATAAGTACAAAAATTTCTCAAATTAAGTGTATTCACCCTTAATTTGAGCAGGTAAATGAGATAGTTTGCCAATGGAATGAGTATTTTTACTCTTAAAATAAGATAATTAGATAATATGCACTTGAAATAAGACGGTGCAATTGTGTTTTCTTATTTTAAGTGTACATTTTCTTGTTCTATTGGCAAAATGTCTCTTTGACCTCCTCAATTCAAGAAAAAATGCACTTATTTTAAGAAAAAATGACTTATCTAGATTTACATTTTTTTTGCAGTGTTGCAGTTTAACTGCTAACTGAGGTATTATTAGGTAAGGTTGTGGTCCAGCTGTTTTATTTTCCTCTCTACCTGCTTTCAAAATAGTTTAATACTTATTTTCTTTTACTCTGCTTATATGCTGCTATTTTATTGTCTAATTAATTTAAACCAGCTGTCTACGGGCGAGCGGCGGGGCGCGCCCTGGACGGGTCGCCAGTCCATCGCAGGCTTCTACTAAATTATGCTATACAAATAAACTTGCCTTGCAAGTTTATTACTATAATTAAATGACCACTCCTGTAATTTCAGCAGCCTGATGTAGAGTTTTACAAGGTGCGGGGAATTTTAAACGTTTTCAGACTCAGCAGCACAGCTTGCTTGAGATGCAGCACACAGAAAAATCAAACGCAGTAAAACAACATTCTAAATCAGTCAGGGATTCAATGATTTGTTGTGGTTGAAAGTTTACATACCTTTCCATAAAATTCAGAAAAATTCCCAGTAAAATAAATGAAAATTCAAAAATTTGAACTCTGATTATAAATATGTATTTGCTTTTTCATTTTTTTTTAATAAAAATTTTGAATAAATATTTTATTTTACTAAATTGTCATTAAGTAAATTTTGTTGTCATTGATTTTTTTCAGTTTTGTATTATTTGAATTACTAGTGTGAATTTATCATATTCTTTAATGGGAGGGTATGTAAACTTTTAAGCACACATGTATGTCCCTCCTAAAAGCTGTTTTTGCAGAACATTGAGGCTGTTTTACACTGAAAAAACCATCTAGATATAAGTAAAAAATTCTTAAATTAAGTGTATTTACCCTTAATTTGAGTAGGTAAATGAGGTAGTTTGCCAATGGAATGAGTATTTTTACTCTTAAAATAAGATAATTAGATAAAATTCACTTGAAAAAAGACAATGCAATCGTGTTTTCTTATTTTAAATCTAAATTGTCTTGTTCCATTGGCAAAATGTCTCTTTTATCTCCTCAATCCAAGAACAAATGCCCTTATTTTAAGAAAAAATGACTTATCTAGATTTGGATTTTTTTCCAGTGTAGTAATTTTGACAGGATTTTTCTTGGTTTGCATCAGATCTGAGGACCTCTTTGTGCGCTACGCTGTGATCTTTAACGGGGAAACACAGCTAAGTGACGTGGGGGGCTTCGAGGAGGAGCACGGCGAAGAGACAGACGAGGATGTGAATGCTCCCAAATTGAAGCACATCATCCTAAAGGCCTTAAAACAGGAGCCAATGCTGCTGCTGGACATACAGACACTTAACTTTGAGGCTGGTAATTATCTGAAAGAAATGTTATGTCAGAAATGATCATTATGGTTCCCAGCTGCCTTTTCTCTTACAGTGACCACAGTTGATCAAAGTGTGGAGCTTGACATGGACTCCGTCGACACAGCCGAGTTCGCAGAGGAATCAGATGTCCACAAACCCACCAAAAGTTCATCCCCCACTGTGGGAGTGTTAGAAAACAAGCTGGATGATTCAGCTTCTGTTAAACCAAAAACTCCCACCTTTGTGCCTTTCATCCCAACCACCCTCCCAAAGAGCACTTCTAGCTTTACAGTTAGGGCCCCGTCAGCAGCAGCTACAGACACAAAGCACAGCGAAGATTCAAAAGAGGAAGAGAAGACACCGCTGAGTGATGGGGAAGGTGAAGGTGAGTGGAGCTGGGCACAAGCGATGACCCTTCTTCTTGTAAATCCAGTTTATTAAGCAGAATGTCAAGGGGAGCCGAGTTTAAAAATTTAAAGGCTTATTGATTAACCAAACACTGCACTGTGGTGCAGACTCCATTAAAAGCTATTGATAGGTAACTAGAAGAGCTCTGGAAATGAAAACCACACTCAGGCATCATGTGTAGACCCTGGTTCATTGTGAAGAAGCCAGATAAGCAGACTGAACTGTCTGCAGAATTACTGAAGCAGTAAACATAAAAGAGTCAAAAAGGAAACCAGCTGCAGAAAAGCAGCAGGGTGTCTTAAAGTTTCAACCGGTTTAATCTAAAACCTCTGTTAAATCATTAAGATATTTATAATCTGAGATGAATAAATTCTAAAAAAACAGCTTAGTCAGTATCTTACACTTAACTGTCTTCGTATCTGAAACTGTCATAGTCATGTTAAATGCCTAAACCAGACCAGAAGGCAGTTAAATATTTGAATCATTGCCTATCGAATCTGTTGTCACAAATTTGCAATAAACCTAAATACATGTATATGCAACATTCAAAGTAAAAATCTTAATCTTGCAACTTCTTAAAAGCAAAACATTTTTTTTTTTTTTTTGCATGTACGGTACATAAATTCAGGCATACAGGAAAAACTTTAATGGTGAATTTAGAGCATTTACTGTAAACACTGGAAAAACGATCTAGAAATAAGTAAAAGTTTCTCAAATTAAGTGCATTTACCCTTAATCTAAGTGTGTAAATAAGAAGGTTTGCCAATGGAATTAGTATTTTTACTATTAAAATAAGATATTTAGATAAAATGCACTTGAAATAAGAGAATGCAATTGTATTTTCTTATTTTAAATGAAGCTCTAGCGCAAGTTCAATTGAAGAAACTCTGACTTACCTCCATCATTTAGGAGCTGATCCGTCTCCGAAGCGAGCCAATCAGCTTCGAACTACTGCACCACGAAGCCCAATCAGCGTCCTGCTTCCACTTTATAAACTCCTTTCAAATCTCATCCCAGCCTCTATCCTGCAATCGCAATGTCGGA